GGAGGGACAGAGAGGAAGGGTATTTAAAATGGAGTGGAGAAGAAGAAAGAGCTTTTGGCTTTTTTCTCCTGGGCGGTCAGCTGAACCAGCAAGCTTTTGGCCTTAAACTTTTGGTTTTTGGCTTTTGACCTTTTGGCTTTTTGGGCTTTGAGCTTTTGGTTTTCGGCTTTTTTCCTTCAGGATGTGAGCTGAGTGGGAAGGTCAGCTGGGTGATTTCTCTGCCTCTCTGAGCTAGCCGTCTGAACCAGCATCTCGTTTCTGAAACTTCATTGGTAAAAATCAGATAATGGGGTTTTCTTTTTCTTTCTTTCTTTCTTTTTTTTTTTTTTATAACACCATACCACCCTCAATTTTTCCACTCCCACCCAGCCCTCAAAAATGAAAAAGAGTGATAAACTCACGGGTAGCCACTGTCCCTGGAGAAGGCAGGAGGACTCCACCCATGTCAAAGATGACTGCTCTGTAGCTGTGGCCACCAGAGTGTGTCCATCGGAAGGCTCCCTGCTGCCTGCCCAGGGTGTGTTTCAGGGCAGCGGCCCTCCATGCCCAGTGAAGAGAGGAAGGCTGGAAAAGCCTCCGTATGTACATGGTGAGGCCGAGGCTGTTTGGGAAGAAGGTACAGAGCAGCTTGATCCACAGCTTCCATGCAGGCTTTATTCCTGCTACTCACACCTCTCAGCCCAACAAATGCTCAAGCCCCACCCACAGATGCCTCACCCAACTGCTGGAGCCACAGAAAAGAGGCTGCCCTGACTCTCTTCAGTCCCATCGCGGCAGCCTCAGCTCTGTCTGTGCTTTCTCCTGAGAACCTCCACCTTCTAGCTTCTTCTCTCACTGTACAAATCTCTCCAGGGACCATGACAGTCCCGACAGCCCCCTACCTCTTCTCAAGCCTTCTTTACCGTCCTCCCTCATCAGCCAGAGTAGTCCTTCAAAGCTGCAGATGTGAGCGCATCGTTTTTTATTATGTTTTCTAAAATTTATTTATCTTTATTTTATGTAGATTGGTGTTTTGCCTGCATGTATGTCTGAACAAGGGTATCAGATCCCCTGGAACAGTAGTTACAGACAATTGTGAGCTGCCATGTGGGTGCTGGGAATTGAACCTGGATCCTCTGGAAGAGCAGTCAGTGCTCTTAATTGATGAGCCACCTCTCCAGCCCCCTGTGATCACATCTTAACCTCGTTTCTTTCTTTCTCTCTCACTTTCTTTCTTTCTTTCTTATTTTTTTTTTTTTGACACATGGTTTCTCCATGTAGTTGTGGCTGTCCTAGAACTCATTCTGTAGGCCAGGCTGGCCTTGAACTCAGAGATCTGCCTGCCTCTGCCTCCCGATTAAAGTCCACCAGCCTGGATTAACCCTATTTAAAACCTTCACCGGAAACAGTGTGTGATAGCCCAACTACACGAGGTGCTGAGGCAGGAGAGCTGAGTTCCAGGCTAGCCTGGGCAACTTAGAGAACCTGTGTATTAGTAACATTTTTCCCCATTGTTCTGACCTACTTCCAGACAGAGCAGGACAAGGGAAGGATTTGTTCAGGCACACGGTTTCAGAGAGTTTAATCTACGGCTATGTGATTCCATGCACTTGGTCAGAACATCATGGCGACAGGAAAAGAGATATGTCTTCATGGCCAAGCAGGAAGCTGAGAGAGGGAACACAGGAAATGCCCAGGGCAAGACACCAGGACATACACCAGTGTCTTGCTTCCTTCAGCTGGACAGAACCTCCCAGAATTCACCAAATGCCAACAATGGTATCACATTATGAACTTATCAGCAGATCAACCCACTGACTGGGTTCAGAGCCCTTAGAGGCAAACTATCTCTGGGCTGGCCCCTTCACCAGAACACTAAGAGGCCTGCTTTCCTAACTTTGGAGGCTGTCTTAATCAAACATGAAAAATTCGTCATTTATCTGCGCTTGCTGGAACACACCTATAATCCCAGCACTTGGGAGACAGAGGCAGCGGATCTCTGTGAGTTCCAGGACAGCCAGGGCTACATAATGAGACTGTACTCAAACACACAAACAAAGCCCATATAGAAACAACAACAACAAAAAACCCTCAAATAAATAAAACCAAGGCCTAAAGAAGGACTCTTTTTCCTTTTTTCTCTTTTCTTTTTGAGATGGGTCTTGCTCTGCTGCCCAAGCTGGTTTCCAATGCCTGGGCCCAAGCAATCCTGCCTCAGCATCCCTAGGCATCTGGCATGGCAGGCGCATGTGAACCACTGTACCCAGCTAACACAGGATTCTAAAGTGGTTAATACTGAAAAGGGCATGATGTATTTATTCATCAAAAGTTGGCTGGATTTGTTAGTTTTTTTAAAAAGCCCCCCCCCCCCCAAACCTCAAACTTCAAGGCTGATGAGCCGTCTTCCAGTTTTCCTTCTTCCTATGCCAAGGCCAAAGTCTACGAAGGACACAGAAATCAATATGAAGGCAGACATTACAGGCTTCTGTCACCCCTTCTGGGTTGTGTAGAGCTGAGGAATTGGACTCTGGCCTTTGTCCGAACTAGGCAAACATTCTCATCTCTCCAGGCCTTGGCACCTGATGAGTAGGCAGACCAGCTCAGTGCCCTTTCCCCTACTTCATCTGCCCAATGAATTTCCACTCACTTTTACCCTTCAGCCTTGCCTTCCTAGGACTCCATAGATTCTATTTCCTTTCCCAAGCTGACTATGGCAGTCTTGTGGTAGGCTCCTGTCCCCACCTGATGTTCCTTCTCCCTATCTTTAGCGGAGTATGTAACCCTCACACCTTACTGTTCTTCTGCTCCTACAGTTCAGCTCCACAAGGCAAGAACTGTCTTAGTCATCTTTTAGACATCCCCACCCCAGGGCTTGGTACTGTTTCTAGACTTAGAGCAATTCCTCAGGCTAAATGAAGAATGAAAAAACTGAATAGATCATGGAGCACAGAGTGGTGATGCATGACTGTAATCCTACCACAAAGAGAGGCAGAGGCAGAGGCTGAGGCAGAGGCAGAGGCAGAGGCAGAGGCAGAGGCAGAGGCAGGGGCAGGGGCAGGGGCAGGGGCAGGGGCAGGGGCAGGGGCAGGGGCAGGGGCAGGGGCAGGGGCAGGGCAGCCTTGAATGCCAGGTTAGCCCAGGCTACACAGCAAGAAAAGGGAGAGGGATGGAAGGATGCAGGGAGGGAAGAGCTAGGGACACATTTAAGTGTCTGACAGCCACAAAGAGCTGCGACAGCTTGTCTGTTACTGGTTACCAATGTTAGTTCCCTGGAACTGGCATCCGCTAGTTCACAAAGACTATTTATTTTCTCCTTGTCAATCAGACTGAGGTTAGAATAACGTAGATTTCCTGCCTCGATTATAATTTTATAAGTATCCACACAGTGCATGGTTTTATATTACAGAGATGGGTTAGAACAGATATAAATGGTCTGGGGTGACTGTCTGGTTTCACATCCTGGCTCTGCTACATATCGAGAGGGGAATCCTGGGTACATTGCTCCCCCCTGAGCCTCAGGCTCTCCCTCTGTGAAATGGGGGCACTTACAGTATCTATTGCCAAAGGGCAGTCACCACCACCTAAGGTAAGAATATGCAGCTATCAAGTGAGAACGCGGCACACCATTTATGGTTGCCTTACACTTGAATTTGGGGTGTGCCTCCCAGCATGCTGAAGGCCCTAAGTCAATCCTCAAGCACCCAAACCAAATGTCTACTATTGACACATGGTCAGATGATGGACTCAGTGTGGAAGGCTTGTGCACTTTCACATAAGCCAGTGATTCTCCACAGGGGTGACATGGGCCCCTGAAGGGCATTTGGCAATATCTGTGCACATTTTCTCCTGTCCCCACCAGGAGAGAGTACTCCTGACGTCTATGGTTCACAGACACACATACAAAATGCCCTGAAAGGCTTATCAGGACCTGAAATGTGAGCAGGCCAGGAGTTGGAAAACTCTGGAACTACACGGGTGGGAGAGATTCCATGGGGCCTAGCATAAGCACTTCTACGTATTGTGTGTTCTTGTTACAGGTACAATTTGTACACATGTCCTCCCTCACACATCTCACACGTTATATACAAAATGGTATCCTGTCATGTTTTTGTTTTTTTTTTTTCCATAATGCACTGATTTTAGCTGGCCTTTCTGTGCGTGCATGTGTGTGTGTGTACTGGAGGTTGAACCCAGAGCCTGTACCCCAAGCATTCTACCACTGAAGTACATTTCTCAGTGCTGTCGATGGCACCTGCATGAACATTAGTTCTATCCTGCCACACACCCTTCAACAGAGGCCTGAAACCCTAACACTGTGGAGGTGGAAGAGGCTGGAGGAACAGAAGCTCAAGGACATCCTTTGCAATATATAGAGTTAGAGCCATCCCGTCTCAAAACAAGTAAACAATGGCCAGGCGGTAGTGCTCACAACCTGTGTCTACAGAGTGAGTTCCAAGACAGCAAGGGATACAATGAGAAACTCTGTCTTGAAAACAACAACAACAAATAAAAAGAACAACAAGAAACCAAACAACAAAACCAAATTTAACCATGACTTTTAGGCTTCCCAGCTTATCTCTGTCTCCACACAGCGTTTCATTTCACACAACCGTGTGGTGTTATGCAAGGACTAGCTAGGTCGTCTTGTCAGGGTTTGTTTTATGTCTGCAAAAGTACCCCATGCAGCCGCGTAATGCCCAGCTCTCAGCGGACATCTGTGTGGACACTGAGATGCTGACCAGCCCACCGCCATACCTGCATAGAGTTTCAGCCCTGAGGTCGAAAGCCCAGGAAATCTTAGAGCCTGGGCAAACCCTGCCGTTGAGTGGGCGGGACACAAGAAGCGGAGGTTCGAACGCAAACGGAGACTGATTCTCTGTAGACCGAGCACTCTCCTGGAGACGGTCAGCTAAGGGTCAGCAGTGGCTGTCGAAGGCGCATGCGCGCCCGAGGCCTCGCCCCCTTCCTACCGGCGCGTGCGCGTGCGCAACCCCGCGGGTCAGCGACGGCGGCCGGGAGGCGGAAGTGGAGCTTGTTGTGGCTCGGCCGTCTGCGCGAGAGGGCTGCCGCTGCTGAGGCGGCGGCCGCGGCTCTGAGGCGGTGGCGGCGCTGCCGACCGCGGGCCGCTCGGCCTCTGGGCTCGGCCCGCAGCCTTCCCCGAGCCCGCTGGGGCCCACGCCGACCAGCGCCTGTCCTATGAGTGTGTCCCTGGTGGTCATCCGACTGGAGCTCGCGGGTCACTCGCCGGTCCCCGCTGACTTCGGCTTCAGTGCCGCCGGTGAGTCCGCGGCCTCGCGCAGGGCCGGCGGGTCGGCTGCCCTCGCTCCACCCGCCCCCGGGCTGCCAGGTGCCTCTGCTTGTCGTCGACCTCGCTGCGAGAAAGCGCGGCCTGTGGTGGGGGATGCTATGCACCTTTTCCAAACTGGCAGACAAGCCAGTGCCTAAATGATTTGCCCAAAGTCAGGTGTGAGTGGCTGGAAACCGGTTCTAACCCAGCTGGGCCCGAGAATCTGACGTCTTCACCACCGGTCACAGGCTTCCACAGTGGGCCATGGGGCTTCCACTCTCTCTTGATCGTCACAACATTACCTGATAACATTGAGACTCCTGAGGTGGAGGCAGTCAGAGTTACAGGGAAACCTGTCTAAGCAGGTTTGTCTAAACAAACAAACAGAAAAGGTGGGGGGGAGGGTGATTGCTTGGTGTCTGTCAGACCTTTGTCATGCCAAGAATCAGACGTGATGTCTAATTTGTGGCATACGGACTAATAAATCCGATAAGTTGATGGAAGAGAGGAACACTTAACTCAGTTGGTGAGCGGGGCTGGTGCTTGTTCTTGGAAGTGTCTTCAAGGGATACTCGGTGAGTCCAGCCTTTGGAGCTACAGTGGAAGATTGTTGTCCCTTGAGTGTGATTTATTTCAAGGTTATATGCAGTTTTCAAGGACTCAAAGTGACCCCTAGTTCTGAAAGTCAACTGCGTTGGCACTAGGTATCTTCTTGGGCCCAGTCATGAAGACATTTATGCAACAAAGATAGACTGAGAGCTGTGTGCTAGAGTGGTGGGGTGAGGGCTGGGCAGGACAAGCCCGGGTCTGCCTCAGAGCTGATTTAAGGTTGTCTAAGTCACAGCTCGGGGTTTTTGAAACACCGTTTATTCATGACACTTATATTTTGGCCGCAACATAGGCACAAAGTTTCTCATGGTAGTTCGTCTGGATATGATCGCTGTGGAACGTTCTGGAAGGTTTTTATTCCTGGAGGTTTGTTTAAAGTTCACTAGAACAGCCCCATGTTTTGGACACCATTGGGATGGACACTGTCTGACTGTTTTATGTGTGCCGCTGTAGGAGACCTAGAGGGACTGAGGCAGACACTCACTGCAAGGACGCCTTACCCATTTGGGGGGGAGGAAACCTATTGATTGGACTGCTGAGAAGTAAGGGCAATTTGTTCTGTCATCAGGTATTAATCTTTCATGTGTTCTTCAGCTGGGGAGATGTCCGATGAGGAGATCAAAAAGAAGACACTGGCATCAGCTGTCGCCTGTCTAGAAGGGAAGTCACCAGGAGAGAAAGCAGCAGTCATCCACCAACACCTTGGCCGTCGGGAAATGACCGATGTGATTATTGAAACCATGAAGGCTGGCACAGGTATGCCCTCAGGAAGCCTGGCCTTGCTTTTGTACTGAGCCCCCGGCTTTGTGTGTGTGCGCGCGCGCGCGTGCGTGTGCACTTTGTGTGTGGTTGTTGGGTTTTTTTTTTTTTTTGGATCATGAGGTTTACCTCTGGCTTTTTTTTTTAAACTCGCTTATCTGAGAGACGATCTTATTTATCCCAGACTGACCTCAAACATGGTATGAAGCCAAGGATGACCTTGAACTTCTAATCCTTCTACCTTCACCTCCTGAGTGTTGGGATTGTGTGTACACACCACTACATGCAGTTCATGTGGTGCTGGGCGCATGTATGTCAGCTAGCACTCTACCAGCTGAGCCCTACTCCAGCATACTTTTTTTTCACCACTTGTGTGCTTTACATGATTTTGAGAAGCCATGTTTCATTGCCTTTATTTTTTTTTTCTAAATAAAATTGGGTGCCGAGGTACCTGCCTTTTGTCCCAGTCACTCAGTGGGCTGAGGCAAAAGGGTTATGTATTTAAGCCCTGGAGTTTGGAAATAGATAACATAAGAAGATCCTCTTTCAAAAGAATAATAAGGATTGCTTGATTTTTAACAAAGTGGATTCTTTTTTAATTAGTTAATTTTTATTTTATGTACATTGGTATTCTTCCTGCTTATATATGTGTATATGGGTGTCAGATTTCTTGGAACTGGCGTTATGGACAGTTGTGAGCTGCCTTGCCTTGTGGGTGCTGGGAATTGAACCCAGATTCTTTGGAAGAGCAGCCAGTGCTCTTAACCAACAAAGTAGATTCTTAACTCTGGTGGGAGTGCTCATTACCACTAACTGGGCCCCAGATGGGCAGTACATCCAGGTAAGCCAGCTGTGGCCTCCCTGCCCTGCTGGCCTCATGGCTAAGGAAATGGATGCACTCTGCATCTTCAACGTAGGTGTGATGAGAACTGGAAGGTCTAGTTTTCAGAGAGCCCTGATTGTCTCACTGAGGAGTATGTGGCAAATGTTTACCAGCTTGCGTTGGGGTGCTGCTTGATGTGGGAGGAGCCCTTCTTGGGTTTTGAGGATGTTAAAAGAGTTTTTTGTTTGTTTGTTTGTTTTTACGAGAGTATGAGATGTTTTTAAGCAGAGAGAGCTTTAAATTTAAGATGTTCCCAAACTTAGCAGTTCTTCCCATATGTTTTTGTTTTTGTTTTTGTTTTTTGTGACAGAGTCTCTTGCTGTAGCCTACAACAATAGCTCTCCCACTTCAGCTTTCTAGTGTTGGGATTATAGCATGAGCCATCATACCTAGCATGAATGGTTCTTATTGCAATACACTATAGTTTCTCTGTCATAGTTTACTGTTCTAGCTTGGAATTCTAACTTTATTAGTCACCTTCAGCATATTTGCAGCTGTTGTGATCTGCTAATTTTTACTTTTGTAAGATGAGTTGAGAGACACAGTGGAAGAAAAGAAATCTTCAGCAGCCCCCCTCTCTGCCCAAAGAAGTAGAGAGCAGAATGAGTCTGTGAACACGGCCCCAGACTCTCCATCCAAACAGCTCCCAGACCAGATTTCCTTCTTCAGTGGCAATCCCTCTGTTGAAATCGTCCATGGCATCATGCACCTGTATAAGACAAAGTAAGAAAAGCTCTTTTTTTGCAGACTGCTCTGATTTTGATTTGAGTGTTTAGGAAACACTGTGGGCCTGAAGTGAGGTCGACAGCTAAAACTTTGACAGCATACTGTCATCAGGTACTATGGACTAGAGAGTTCTGAAATGCTTTGCATTAGGTAGTGCTGACTGGGCCAAAGCTTTCCCTACTCAAAAATAAATGTGTACTGTACTTAAATGCTTCGGAAAATATTCTTTTAGCTGTTAAGTGTGGATATTGATTGGGGAATTGCAAACAGAATGAGCCAAAGTATCACATGTTCATGTGCATACCACAACAATACCAAAGCTGCAAAGCCAGGCAATTTTAATTAGAATACCTCTTTTGATGACTTTGTTTTTTTACTTTGTTTTGAGGTGTGTGTGTTTTGTTTTGTTTTGTTTGGAACAAGGTCTCACTGTATAGCCCTGGCTGGCATGGAACTCAGAGATATTCCTGTAAAGATATTAACCAGTTGGTCTGGATTTTTTCAGTTTTTCCCTGTATTTTAAAACAAACAAATAAATAAAACCTTTCTTCTGGAAGCCCAAGGAAAGGAAGCATTTAGACAGATAACCTACCAGTTGGATCTTCAGCTCCTGGATAGCATAACTGGTTGATGTCTCAACAACTATTCTTGCCCTAACTTGTTTTCCATGCCCCTCTTGGGACACTGAAAAACAGCCAGTCATCAGGTAGCCATTTTGGATCCTAGCTGTCATGTCAGTTTTCAGCGTATGAAAAGCAAATTGCGTTGTAGAAGTTTTTTCTCTCTCTTTCCCAGCTGTTAACTCCATAGCACTTTTTGTAATCTTCAGTCATATCTTCCGAGTTTAGAATTCCGACATAGATTTACAGCTCTTAAGACAACTTCACAGTAGCGCTGTGCCTCATAGTTTTTCAACAGTAGATTATTATTCAAAAATTAAAGGAGCCTTGGATAGCTCAATTGATAAGGCTTCTGACCCTGAATCTGAGAGTTCAGGATTTAGTTCCCTACTGCCTTTAGAGGCTGCCTGTGGAAGTTTAATAGTGGCTCAGACCGTGGCTCAGAATTCAAACAAAAAAGAAAGCATTTAGAAAATTAAAAAAAAAAAAAAAAGAAAGAAAAAGAAACAAAAATTAAAGAGACTAAAACACAAGCCTGGAAAGATGGCTCAGAGGTTAAGAGCACTTGCTGCTTTTACAGAAGACCTGGGTTCAGTTCCCAGCACCCATAACATGGCTCGCAACCATCTTTAATTGTTGTTCCGGGGGATCCATGTCCTCTTCTAAGCACCAGGTAGTACAGAGACATATACGTAGGCAAACACTCATACACATAAAAAGGAGAATAAAATATTGGGTCTGGCTAGGATAGTTTAACAACCGTTTATGTCAAGATTGAAAATTCTGAAGAGGAACTGAACGGGGTGAATGCAATTAAAATACATTATGTGGAAGATTGTTTTAGATATTGAAAACTGGTGGGGCAATGTGGACTGTGGACTAAAGCTTGCCTTAAAGTGTACTGCAGACACGTGGAGGAGGATTCAGGAGTAGGTATAAGTATATGTTTTCAAGTAAACTCACAAGCTGTTTAAGTTAATTTGTGAACTATTAGCCATTTTATATTTTATATCTTCTTGGACAAAAGAATTATTTGGTTGGTTTTCTTCAAACTCTTCAAGATGGTCTTATTGTCTTCCTCTTAGTAAGATGACCTCCTTAAAAGAAGACGTGCGACGCAGTGCCATGCTGTGTGTCCTCACCGTCCCTGCCACCATGACCAGTCATGACCTCATGAAGTTTGTTGCCCCATTCAATGATGTAATTGAACAAATGAAAATCATCAGAGACTCTACTCCAAATCAGTATATGGTGCTGATCAAGTTCAGTGTACAGGTAAAAGTTAAGATGCTAGATTTTTCTCTGCCACAGACATGCTAAGAGAAATTGTGATACCAGTTGTGTGTGGTTTATGCCCGAAATACATTACATGGCCTCTAGGGTGCAGTCACTGTGGTTGTGGCCCATAGCTATTAGAAATACAATTATAGTGGCATTTTTTTTTTTTAATAGGGTCTCACCTGGCTGGCTTGGTACTTGCATTAAAGACCAGGCTGGCCTGGAACTCAAGAGATCTGTCTTGCCTCCCAAGTGTTGGGACTGGAGGTATATACTACCACACCCAACAAAAATAAAAACTAAGATGACCAAGCCAGCCATGAGTTGAACCTGGAATCTTCTGATCTTTATTAAAGGCATTATCCATTGTTCCAATTGCCTGTACTCCCATAATTTAAAAAAAATTAATTTATTTTTATTGTTAATTTTTGTGGTTATGGAGATTAGTCCCAACACCTCACACATGCTAGGTAAATGCTCTGCTACTAACTATGTCCCCAGCCCTTTTTTTTACTTTTTTATATTTTATTTATTTTTCATTTTGTTTATTTTTGTTGTTGTTTGTTTTTTGTTTTTATTTTTTTTTTCCTGAGACAAGGTTTTTCTGCGTAGTCTGAGCTGACCTCGAACTCACAGATATCTGCCTACCTCTGCCTCCTGGAGCGCTGGAATTCTAGGCATGCGCCACTGCGCCCGGCTTCTTTTTTTTTTTTTTTTTTTTTTTTTTTACTATTTTTGACAGGGTCTCACTAAGTTGCCCAGGCTGCCTTTGGTCTCACCTAGTAGCGCAAATAGGCATTGAACTTGTGATCTCATGTATCAGTCTCCCATGTAGCTTGATGACAGACCTGAACCACCACAACTGACTCATGGTTTCTATGTATCAGATTGGGTGTGAAATCCAGTGTGGCATTTGCTTTTCCAGTGGTAATTAGTCCAGTAACTTAGAGCCTCAGCACTTCTGCAGTCGGTGTCACTGTACTATTTGTCATTGTCCCCACTTCCTTCATTCTCTGTTCACAAGATGCTCTTTGAGTGCAGTGTCCATGGAGGCCAGAAGAGTGTGTCATATCCCCTGGAGCTGGAGTACAGGCTGCCCTACTTGGGTGCTGGAAACAAAACCCTCTATACTATCTTTACTACCTAGCCATCTCTGCTTTCCTAGGTTCTTTTTTTTTCATTCTCTCCTTGGTTTTTGTTGTTGTTATTGGTTTTGTTGTTTTTTGAGACAAGGTCTGTGTAGTATTAGCTGTCCTGGAACCCGATCTGTAAAGCAGGCTGACCTTGAATTCACAGAAATCCACCTGCCTCTGCCTCTGAGTGCTGGGATCAAAGGCATGTGCTACCACAACTGGCTCTAGAGGGTTTTTTTGTTTTGTTTTGTTTTGGTTTGGTTTTTAAATATTGATGTTGATTGGTCTAATACTGAAGTGTTAAGAATGGTTGACATTACAGAGAGGCAGATGCCCTGAAAGAACAGTGATGTTCTTAGACCTGAAAATGCTTGTGCAGTTTTCAATTAAGAAGGTTTTGTCATTGTCTCTTTCATATCCTGCTTTATAGCATATTGCTTCGTAAGAGCTGTGTGTGTGTATGAACATAAAAGTGAAGTGAGCTTTACTACTACTCATGTTGCCAAGGAGCTGTTCCAGCTTCGGCTTGAGTCAGGCTTTGGTTGTGTTTTTATATCCTGTGATATTTGTCCATTGAAATTTAACTACATTGGCTGGGAAGTTCAAGGACAGCCTGGTCTGTAGAGTGAGTTTTAGGACCACCAGGATGACACAGAGAAACCATGTCTGGGCTTATTTTGTGGGATGTGGTGGTTTATACCTTTAATCCTAGCCCTCAGGGAGCAAAGGCAGAGGGGTCTCTGTGAGTCTGAGGACAGCCTGCTCTACTTAGTGAGTTCCAGGACAGCCAGGGCTAAGTAGAGAGACCTGTCGCAAACAAAACAAAACATTTTAATTTTATATGTGTAGGTATTTTGCCTGCATGTATGTCTGTGCACCACTTGTGTGCAGGGTCCATGGGGGCCAGAAGAGGACATCACATTCCTCCGGAGCATGAGTTGCAAATGGTTGTGAGCCCTGCGTTGTTGAACTAACCCTGGGACCTCTGAAAGAGCCGCCAGTGCTGTTAACCACTGAGTCATCTTTCTAGCTCTTGACACACGTTCTTAATTTTCCCAGTGGTAGGGAACTTTGTAAAGTCAAATTAACAACTGTATGCTCTTAGAACTCCGCAAATACACACAGAACAGGTGTGAATAGGATCCAACTAGTCACTTCCCAAAGTTAGATCTGAAGTGTCATGTGAAGGTTGTAGCTTGAGTCCATATACAGGCAGCTGTCATGTGCTCGCTCCCCTGATCCTCACAGGGGAGTTTTTCATGAGGACTCAGAAGTCTTCTAAATAGTTTATCATTTCTGTTGGCCCTGCTGCTGCTCTGTTTACTTTTTGTGTATGTATGTTGGCCACAGTCACTTCTCTCCTACCATGTGGGTTTCAGGAATCAAACTAGGCTGTCACGCTTGGTGGCAAGTGCCTCTGCCCTCTGCACCATCTAGCTAGCCTCTGTTCTCTTAGCTTTCATTGGAGGTTCATGGATCATATGACCTTCAGGAAATTCAGTCTTAGAGGAAGAAATTTATGTCATCAAGATATGAAAACAAAAATGTGCAGGACAGGTGACCACTCAACAGTGTGGTGGGCTTTCTCCCTGTTGTGCTTAGTTAGGACTGCCTAGCACTCTGGTCTTTTTAAAAGTGAAAACACAGCTGGGCAGTGGTGATGCACGTCTTTTATCCCAGTACTCGAGAGGCAGTGGCAGGTGAATCTCTGAGTTTGGTCTACAGCCTGGTCTACAGAGTGAGTTCTAGGACAATCAAGGCTGCACAGAGAAACCCCAGGGGTGTGGGGGGAGGACAACGTACATTCTGAGCCCTGCAGCTAGTCACTGTGTCAGTGAGGAAGAGGAAGCCCTGATCATAATGGGTTGGCCTTTTTCTGAATTCCTCTGAAGTACAATTACAAAAGTACAAACAGCAAAAACCAAAAGTTGGATTCTTTAAATTTTTTGGTTATATACAATTCTAACATTTTGTCTTCTTTTGAGACAAGGTTCCCTGACCTCAAACTTTTAAAAAAAAAAAATTGTCTTAGATTTAGTTGTTTAATTTTCTATGTATGAATCTTTTGCCTGCATGTATGTCTTATACCATGTGTGCATCATCCTTGGAGCTTAGAAGAGGGCATCTGATCCCCTGGAGCTGGAGTTAAGGGTGGTTGTGAACCACCATGCAGGTGCTGGGAATTGAACCTGGGTCCTCTGCAAGACCAAGTGCTCTTTACTGCTGAGCCATGTCTCCAGCCCCTGCACTCAAACACTTCATTTCCTTGTTTGTCTTTTTGAGACAGGGTTACTGTGTAGTCATCACTATCCTGGAACTCAGGTCTGGCCTTGAACTAGGAGAGTTCTGCCAGTTGTGTGTGTCACCACTCCGGCTGCCCTCAGACTCTCTTCTGTCTTCTTCAGCTTCCCCTGCACTGGCATTGCACCCAGCCCTATGCAGCATTTTAACAGTGTAGAGTTTTCGTTTTGTTTGAGACAGTCTCTCTCTAGGTAGCCCTGGCTGTCACTGTGTAGACCAGGCTGGCCTCAGACTCTCAGAGATCCACCTGCCTCTGCCTCCCTAGTGCTGGGGTTAAAAGGGTGTGCCAGCACCTTCTGGTTCTAGCCTGCAGTTTTAATACCTACATTGTAAAGAGGATAAAGAGACAGATTTTTAAATTTTATGTGTACATATGTTTGCCATATGTATACGGTACCTACAAAGACCAGAAGAGGATTTTCTGAAGTTACAGCTGGTTGTGGGTCGTCTGGTTATGGTGCTGGGGATGGCTCAGGTCCTCTGGAAGATCAGTATGTGCTCTTAACTGTGGAGCCATCTCTTTAGCACCTGTTTATAGGTTTTCATTGCATTGGGGTGTGTGCATGTGTGTGTTTGTGCTTGCACACATGAGCGTGTGCGTGTTTGAGAGCATGCCACAGTGTTCACGTGCAGATGAGATTATAGATTGCAGACGTTGCTCTACCATCTGGGTTGCAGGAATTGAACTCATGTTGTCAGGCTTGATGGTGAGCACTGCTGAGCCATCTTGCCAGCCTTAAAAGTACATTTCTTTGGTGTAGATGAACAGTTCCCTCAAGAATAGAATAATGAGTTGGGTCTTTTGCTTATCCTTTCTGTGATGAGTTCTGTCATTTGGTGAGCACTTAGACAGCTCCTGATCCAAAAAGGCCTCTACCTTTCCAGCAGCTGTAGTCAGTGCCTTCTGTAGAAGATGAGCCTAGCCTCCTCCTAGCCTAGCTGCTCCCTCAGTGAGCACCACAGCCTCATCCAATAGTGTCTCCAGTAACCCTGGGAGATGGGGAGAGTTGTCCCACAGCCAGCTTTACAGATTGAACTTAAAGTTCACTGCCCCTTCAGTAAAACAACATCAGAATTGACTGCCTTTCTCAGAGCTCAGTTCACTGGCTTATATGAAGAAAGCATAAATAACCAAAAATCCAAATCGTGAGGCTGGAGAGATAGCTCAGCCTCTAAGAGTGCTGGCTGCTCTTGGAATGGTTCTGAGTTCAGTCTCTGGCAACAATAAGGCAGCTTATGACTGGCTGTAACTACAGTTACTGGGGATCAAATGTCTTTTGGCCTCCATAGGCACTGCATGCATGTGGTACACATACATATAGGCAAAACACCCTTACATATAAAATAAAAATAAATTAAAAATCTGTGAGATTACATCATTGGAGTGGAATTAAAAACTGTTCAAGAGACTTGTGGTCCTTGTGAGATTGAGCCCCTGAAAAGGAGAGCCAGGTTTGGTAGAACAGCCTTGAATCTGGTGGTGGAAGTCAACAGTGCAGTTGTTTTGTTTTTGAGGAAGCTGCCCTCATCCCCCAAGCAGCTTGTCAGCATTAGTAGGGCTGAAGCAGGCAGTTTCCTATGTTTGGGCTAATGCCCCTATGGGAGTGAAGTCTAGGCCTCAGCCCCCTGCTGCTGTGAAAAACTGAGTTTAAACACTGGAGTTGTCTTGTTGCTCTCCACTAAGCCTGAGCCAGGGTTTGATTTGCCTTTACTCTTTATATCTCTAGTGCATCCAGCCTCCACCATGAGAGAGCACAGCTTGTTATGCTAAAGGCTGGTTAGTCTTGGTTTTGAACAGCCATGTGGGGAACTAAACCCTGGACCCTGGTAAGAGCAGCCAGTGCTCTTAACAGTTGAGCCATCTCTCAAGCCCCAGTCTTAGATACCTCGACCTGCACTAGGAATCCTGACTTGTGGTATTGGACCTTCCTAGTGGGGTGCTTATTCAGTTTACTGAAGAGGATCTGGGTTTTCATCCATACTGGTCCTTATACATTAACACGGATGCTAGTTTTTAAATTTGGTTTTATTTTGTTTCTTTTTGTTTTATGTTTCAGGACAGGGTTTCTCTGTGTATTCCTGACTATCCTGGAACTAACTGTATAGACCGTGCTGGTCCCAAACTCAGAGATCTGCCTGCCTGTCTCCCAAGTGCTGGGATTAAAGGCATGTACTGCCAGAAGTGTCTCCTCTAAACCACCACAAAAACAATGACTAGGGGGAAAGAACTATCCAGGAGTTTGCTGGTGGTAGCAGGTTGAATTTTTGCAGTACACAGCTCTTGCTCAGCACACTGCAACGCCTTCTGCCGTGTAAGCCAAACCTCTCAGCAGCCTGAACACTGCGCTGCAGAGTCTGCTGACTTGATGGCTCAGGGCATGCAGTGCCTAGTGCTTGCCTCTTCTTCTGACTGTAAACATGTGGGATGTGGGAGCGGGAAGGGTAGCTTCCTTGACCAGCCTTTCTTTTTGCCTCTCCCAATGGTGTGCACAGGCTGATGCGGATAGTTTCTACATGGCATGCAATGGCCGCCAGTTCAACTCAATTGAAGATGATGTTTGCCAGCTGGTATATGTGGAAAGGGCTGAAGTGCTGAAATCTGAAGATGTAAGTGTGAAGACTTCTTATGTCTGAAGAGAAATGTTGCCGACTGGTATAGAATTGAATGTCAAGATGCTTGCAGAAACATCCAAAATAGGCCTTACTGTGGAGATTGAGGGTAAAGACAAAAGACAGGTTCTGGGGTCTCAGAGAAAAGTGGAACAGGGAGGGCCAGCTAACAGTGTGGAGGTTACTTTGGGCTGATGGGATATTGACAAATTGGATGGTGAAGCTTGGTGGTGATGGAATAGTTGGTGTGATTTTGCTGAAAGCCAGAGTTTAAAATGGAGACTCTTTCCAGCTAGGCTACGGGGTGGGAGTGGATGAATTCACAGGTGGCATGGCAAGTTCAAAGCTAACCTGTACTACATTGCAAGGCCCTGCTTTAAAAAAACAAAATGGCAAATTATACCCTTTTTTTAAAATGTAGAAAACAGGGTGCTGGAGAGACAGCTCAGAGATTAAGAACACTGCCAGCTCTTCCAGAGGTCCTAAGTTCAATTCCCAGCAATCACATGGTGGCTCACAGCCATCTATAATGAGATCTTGTGCCCCCTTCTGGCATGCAGGCATACATGCAGGCAGAACACTGTATACATAATAAGTAAAATCTTTTTTAAAAAAATGTAGAAAACAGGTATGGTGGTACATGCATGTGACCCCAGCACTCAGGAGGCAGAGAATAGAAACTGGTGAGTTGGAGGTCAGCCTAGGCTATGTAACAAGACCCTGCCCCCAAATCAAAGTAAGGAGAAGACTGCATTGTTGAAACCCAGAACAATGGAGTATTGTTTGGAGCAGAAAGAAGCATTTTTCTTCAAACTGTTAGCCCTAATCTCCTTTCTAGCTTTTTTTAGGTTTTTCTGTGTAGCTGTGGCTATCTAGAAACTCAATGTGTAGACCAGGCTAACTGGAACTCAAAGAAATCCACCTGCCTCGGTCTCCTAGTGCTAGGAATAAAGGTGGTCTCCACCATGCTCAACTTTTTGTTTTCTTTTTTTGAGGCAGGATCTCACTGTGTAGCCCTGGCTATCCTAGAATTTACTGTGTAGAGCAGGGTGGCCTTGAACTCACAGAGATCCTCCTGTCTCTGCCTCCCGAAGGCTGGGGTCCAGGCTTGCTATCCACTTGTTCTGGCTCTCATCTGCAGCAGGACAGCTCCCTGGAGCTGGCCTGAAGTACTGGCTCACTTGGTTGTTTATAGGTTCTGCTCTGGAAGCCAGAGGGTCTCCGTGTTGATTTTCGAGTTCCTTCTTTTTCAAGGAGACATAAGAAGCAGGTTCTCTAATGCCTTTAATCCTAGCACTTGAGGCAGAGGAAGGTAGACCTCTGTGAGTTCCAGTCTAGTATCTGGTCTACAAAGTGAGTTCCAGGACAGCCATGGTTTCACAAACTCAGCAGATAAAGTTGTTTGCCACCACAAAGCCTGCTGGCCTCAGTTTATTCCACAGGGCCCACCTGATTAAGGAGAGAACCAACTCCCGAAAGTTGTGTTCTTTCCACATGTATGTAGGTACATGCTATATATACATATACTAGCACACATAGTCTCCATTTTTCTTTTGTTTTTTTTGAGACAGGGTTTCTTTGTGTACCCTTGGCTGTTTTGGAGCTCACTCTGTATATCAGGCTGGCCTGTAACTCATCAAGAGATCCACCTGCCTCTGTCTCTTGAGTACTGTGATTAAAGGTGTGTACCACCACCACTCAGCCCACAAAAATGTAATTTGACAAGATTTACGCTAGACCCAAAAGCTGGCTACAATGATGGAGGACTAGAATCTGAGCATTAAAGAGGTAGAGCTAGGGGCTGAAGAGATGGCTCAGCATTTAGGAGTGCTTACACAGGTCAGGTTTTCAGCACCCACATGGCACCTCATAATGTCCTGTGACTCCAGTTCCAGAGGATCCAGTGTCTTCTTCAGATATTCATAGGCATCATAGATATTCCTGCATGCACATGGAACACACACATACACTCAGACATAGACATATAAAAATTAATTTTTAAGAATTAAAAAGGTGGGCAGCACATGGTGGCAGAGGCAGGCAGATCTCTGTGAGTTTGAGGCCTGGTCTACAGAGCAAGTCTAGGACAAGCAGGGCTTATTACAGAAATAAACACTGTCTCAAAAAAAAAAAAGGACCCCCCCCCCAAAAAAAATTTTTTTTTTAAAGGTGGTGGCAAGAGGATTAGACCATCAAGGCCTTCTTCAACTACTTCAAAAGTTTGAGGTCTGCCTGAGTTAACAAACTCTACCTCCAAAACAGACAAACAAAAAGCAGGATTTTAAAGGAGGTGGGGTTCTGGAGAGATGGATCAGCAGTTAATATCTTTGGCAGCTCTGTGGAAGACCTGGGTTCAGTTCCTAGCACCCACAAGATGTCTCATAACCCACTGTTAATTCCCAATTCTAGGGGATCTATTCCCCTCTTCTGGACCTCATGGTCATTGCACATATGTGGTACCCAGACATGAATGCAGGCAAAACACCAATACATATAAAAAATTTTAAAATTGAGAGCTGGAGAGATGCCTCAGCAGTTAAGAGCACTGGCTGCTCTTCCAGAGATCCTGAGTTCAATTCCCAGCAACCACATGGTGGCTCATGACCATCTGTACTGTGGTCTGATACCCTCTATTAACTTTCTGGTGTGCAAGCAGACAGAGGATTCATGCAAATAAATAAATCTTTTAAAAAAATTTAAAAAGTTGAATCTCAAAGAAAAGAAAAAGCAGATGCCAAATGTGGCCACACCTCTGATCTTAGTTTTTTCAGAGCTGTGTTAGGAGGCTTGCTGAGAGTTCCAAGTGAGCCTAGTCTAGAGTGGGTGCTGCAAAAAAAGAACAATAAAAGCAACAGGAAGTCTCTTGTTTAAAGAAGAAGATGCTAAAGGATGAAGGTTGGGGCTTAACCAGATATTTCCTGTAGGGCGCCAGCCTCCCTGTGATGGACCTGACGGAGCTCCCCAAGTGCACTGTGTGTCTGGAGCGAATGGACGAGTCTGTGAACGGCATCCTCACCACACTATGCAACCACAGCTTCCACAGCCAGTGTCTACAGCGGTGGGATGATACCACGTGAGTGTAGGGGTCCCCTTTATGACCCCTTTCCAGAATTGAAAATAGCCATCAGCTGCTAGTCTTTGACTCTGCAAAGCTGCCATCTCAATAGTGATGAGACCTCAATATTTCTTTCAGGTCTTGTGGAAATTGTCATCTGTTTCTATTTTTATTGGTGTGAGTGTGTGCGTAAGTTTATGTACACCACATGCATGCAGGTGCCGCAGGATGCCAGAGCGCAGCATATCCCCTGGAACTGGAGTTAGTAGGTGGTTGTGAGCTGCCATGTGGGTGCTGGGAATGGAATCCAGGTACTTTTTCTCCAAGAGCAGAAAAAGCTCTTACCACTAGGCCATCTCTCCAGTCCAAAATTATTCTTCAGATACCAAGACTTTAAAAATCCTTTTCTGGCCTCTGTGGGCACGTACATGTGCATATGAATTCAAACACAGACACATAAGAAAAAAATGAGCCGGGTGGTGGTGATGCAGGCTTCTAATTCTAGCACCCAGAGGTCTAGCACTCAAGAAGGAGAGGCCAGCCTGGTCTACAAAGTGACTTCCAGGACAGTCAGGGCTACATAAAGAAACCCTGTCTCAAAATAAATAGATTGATTGATAGACAGAAAGACAGACAGATAGATAGACAAACAGACAAGACAAAGATAGAAGAAATTGTTGAAGCTTAGGGCTGGCAAGATGACTATATAAAGGTACTTGATGTCACATAAGTGAAGGGAGATAGCACCAGTTCCACAGACCTGTCCTTTGACCTCCACACACAGATTAAATAAGTAGGTTGATTCAGAAGTGAATTGAAGTGACCACACCTTTAATTCCATAATTTGGGTTGGGAGTTTAAGGCTGGCCTACAGAGTGTCCTACCCCCACATAAAGGGAGGTTGAATTCAAGCATAGTGGCCATGCCCTTAATCCCGGGTAGGCAGAGCAGCTGGATTTCGGCAGGAGCTTCGGTCGTTCCGTGTTGTTCTCATAGATGGTGTAGAATGTCAAAATGTACTCATTGTGTGCTACTGAAGCTTGGTTTTGAATATTTTCCTAGATCCTAGAACATGACCTAGTCAGAGTTAGAGCTCAATATTGCTTTGTTTTTCTGTCTAGTCTCTGGCACAGCCAGCACACAGGCAGAAGAGTAACGGGAAGCCACTGTCTACCTGTGCAGCTACTCTGCCTAAGCCAGCAGCCATTTCCAGCACTGCTTCCCAGTTCCTTTCTGCCTTTCCCCCTTTCCTCTTTCTCTTCCTTTCTTCTTTCCTTTCTCTCCTCTCCCTTCCTCCTTGCCAAGTACAGTTCTTCCACTTACCACTCAGCCCCTATTTGTTGTTTTACTTGAAACGAGATCTCAGGTCTAGAGCTGTAGTTCAGTTGGTGAGTTCTTGCCTAGCATAGGAGCTGGGCAAGTTCTAACCAGGAAGCCCCGGGTTCCATTCCTAGCACTGCCTAAACCAGGCAGTACATCCCAATACTAGGGAATTGGAGGCTGGAGGACCCAAAATTCAAGGTGATCCTTGGCTACATAGAAAGCTTGAGGCTGTTCTAGTCTATGTGAAACCCATTTCAAAAGCTAACAAGGGCACTAGAGAGATCCTCAGCAGTTAAGGGCACTTCTTGCTCTTGCAGAGACCCAGCTTTGGTTCCTAGTATCTGTGCTGAACAGCTCACAACCAGCTGTAACTCCATATCTGGGAATCAGTGGTCTCTTCTGGCCTCTACATGCGCTGTTTCACATGGTGCATAAAATACACTCAAGAACACACATGTGCACATAAATCTTTAAGATCCAAAATAAGCCCTCCCTGTGTTAAGCTTGGCTACTCTGGCACTTAGTAGCAGAGGCTAGCCTTGAGCTTATGCTGTCCTCTGCCTCTCTCCTTAGTACTGGCCCTATAGGTGTGCACCACTGTACCTGCCCATCATCAGTACTAAAGAAAGTCAGTGGACCTTGAGCTTCCTTCTTACCAGTTCAGGAACTTGGCCTTCTGCCTACTTGTGCCTCTTCTGTGCTCTTTGTGACCTGGACTGAGAATGAATGGATGCTCACTACACCTTGAGCTTACTTTCTTGGTGGCAGTTTAGTCAGCTACATTTGTATTCTACTTTCCATCACATTGATCCATCAAACAAAATATATTTTAAAAAAATATATTGATAACCAGTATTAAACCAGCCAGGCACAGGGCACACGTCTGTAATCCCAGCACTTGGGGAAGCTGAGGCAGAGGCAGACAGATCTCTCTGAGTTCAAGGCCAGCCTGGTCTACAAAGCAAGGACAGACAAGGCTACACAGAGAAACCCTGTCTCAAAAAAAAATAAAAATAAAAGAATATTAGTTCCTCTTGAGTGTGATTGGAAAGGGTTACCCCAGTTGGAAAGTGCTGGCACACACCTATAGTACTAACAAATGGGAGGTGGAGGCAGAATGATCAGGGGTTAAAAATTATCTTCAGAGTAGACTACCTGAGAGGAAAAAGTGTTATGTGTATGTCTGGAGGGTGGCTCAGCAGTTAAGTGCACTGGCTGCTCTTGCAGAAGACCCAGGTTAAGTTTCCAGAATCCACACTTGAGCTATTCACAGCCACTTGTAACTCCAGCTCCAGGGGATCTGAGGCCCTCTTCTGGCCTTGGTGGGCATGTACATACAAATAAAAATAAACCTTTTTTAAAAAAATTGGCTGGGAACAGGGTATGCTTACAAATGCATTTAATTCCAGCAGAGGCAGGCTGATTTTTGAGGCTGGCCTGGTCTACATAGCAAGTTCCAGGTCAACCAAGGCTACATAGTGAGACCCCCGTCTCAAAAAAGCAACAAAAATAATTGGCTGGGTGTGGTAGCTCACATCTTGAGTCTCAACACTTGGGATCAGAGGCAAGCTGGTTCTCTGTGAGTTTGACATCAACCTGATCCACGTAGTGAGTTCAGGCCAGCCAGGACTGTGGGGTGAAATCCTGTCTCGGTTAAGTAAACACATTTTAGAAAAGAAAGAAAAGGAGAGTGTAGAGAGGGGAAGGTTTATAGTCCAGGTTTCAATGCCTATATACAATCTCAGCCTTATCTTTCATGTCCTGGATAGGTGTCCTGTTTGCCGGTACTGTCAGACACCAGAGCCAGTGGAAGAAAACAAGTGTTTTGAATGTGGTGTCCAGGAAGTAAGTAATGCTGGTGGGGAGGGACAAAGAGCAGCTATATTGGTCTGGGATTTTCTTGTACCCACTGCAGCTTAGACTCTTTTGAGGATTGACTACTTTTTGTCTATACTCAGATGTGTGAGCACACAGATTCTTCATACTTTTATTTGCTATTATTCTCTTAAAAGACTGAGGTGGCCAGTTGTGGTGGCGCACACTGGTAGGATTTGCTGAAGGAGGCAGAGGCAGGAGGATCACGAGTTCGAGGCCAGCCTGGGCTACACAATTTAAAAAAAAAAAAAAAAAAGACTGAGGTGCCCACCAGTCACTTGTGAATCTGTACTTAGAGCCCTGCAGAAGCCAGGGAGGGGAGATGGTTGACCAGTCAGGAAGGATGTGTTTTAGAACCTTCTTATTCAAAAGTCTATGGAAGAAGCGCCACAGTCTTTGTTCCAAGCCATGTGATACAGGTCATGTGCTTCCCCACCCACATCACCAATTTAGATCTCCCCTTTTGGCAGAACCTCTGGATTTGTTTAATATGTGGCCACATAGGATGTGGACGGTATGTTAGTCGACATGCTTACAAGCACTTTGAGGAGACCCAGCACACATACGCCATGCAGCTCACCAACCATCGGGTCTGGGACTATGCTGGAGGTGAGTGCACGGCTGTTTCCTGACTTGCATTCTTTCCTGTGGAAACTCCTCACAGTTTGCAGTGGTGTCCTCCTTATGGCTATGGCAGACTAAGATTGCACAGTTGCTCCTGAGGGCACCAGGTTAGGGATCGCTCAGACTGAGAGTTAGAGAGACACTTTACATGTGTGTTCTTGCCACTCTCACTCTCTAAAAGTTCAAGTGATTTGACCCATTTTTAAAGAAAAATCATGCATCATTTAGATTTCTAAAAACAAAAAAATGTTTCAGAGTTGAAAGCGTAGAGAACTGGCCAGACAGTAGCAGTGGTGGCACACACCTTTAATCTCAGCACTTGGGATGCAGAGGCAGGTGGATCTCTGAGTTCGAGGCCAGCCTGAGTTCCAGGACAGCCAAGGCTATACGGAGAGACCCTGTCTGGGTTGGGGGGAACACAGAGAACTTTTCATTTTTCAGAAGCCGCCTCTGTCTGACTCCTCCTTTCTTTAGATAATTATGTCCATCGACTGGTTGCAAGCAAGACGGATGGAAAGATCGTTCAGTACGAGTGTGAGGGCGACACCTGCCAGGATGAGAAGATAGATGCCTTACAGTTAGAGGTGAGATGGCTATTAGCTGTCACTTAGCAACTGCTTTTGCTGCCTTTTTCCATTCTCTGAAGAAAGGTGCTTTGACCTTTTAATGTTGTTATCCGCCCTTTGTGGAAACTTTTTAGAAATCTTGTCATTGTTGTGAAGAATCTCCAAAATGTTTCTTTTTTTTGCAAGTCTAAGCCATCCTGTGGTATTACTTGTATGGTTGGTACTATTTTGTCTTATTGTTTCAGTGTGTTGTACCTGGTTATCTTGGATTCGGGGTCACTAGTTAAGGCAATTCGGGTCATCTTCCAAAGCAGCATAAAGCCAGAAGGCAGCATGTTCCTGTCGGTGTCTGCACAGAAGCTGGACATAGAATAGACTGAGTCAGAGTGGATCCTGAAACACCTTTCTTCCCTAGAGCCATTTATGCATAGTTGTGTCTTTAACATACTCACTTTCTGAGTTGGGGGCTTGTTCAATTAAAGGCATTTTTGAGTTTATATGTTTGAAGTAACAACACATTTAGCATAGTCAGATTTTTCTTGGAAGCAGTGAATCCTGTCTGCCAGAGACTGTTGTCTGTGCAGAGCAGTCCTGTGGTGTCTCTTGTTTTATTGGTGATGTTCTGTTGTGTATGTGGGTTTACTTTGGTTTGGCTTGAAGACAGGGTCTTGATTATCCTGTCTTCACTTCCCTGGTGATGGAATGACAGGAGCATGCCACCATGCCCACACAAAATTTTATGTTAATGAAGGGGATGTTTCAGAACGAGTCCTATTTTATGTAAATTTCAAAAAAAGAAAATTTCAAACAGGAAAACAAACCCACACCCCTGACTTTCAGAGGGAATGGACTTTGGAAATTGGCTCATTTGAATGTAGACTATTTTGAGATTCATTTTTTTCTTTAATGTATATGAGTGTATATGTGTATGAGTTTGCTTGCATGTGTGTCTGCACCATGTGCATGCTTGGTGCCTGATGAGGCCAGAAGTGGGCCTCAAATCCTATGGAACTGGAGTTATAGACTGTTATGAGCCACATGTGGGTGCTTCTCATTTATAGACTTTATAGCTCTGATAAGATTCAGAGAGTGCCCTTCAGGAAGGCTTGTGCTCTTAATAAATTACTATATTGACAGAAACGATCATCCCCTTGACATTAAATCTTTAGACTAAGTATCTCTTCCATATGAACACTTAATAAGGGTGCTTAGTAACACTTAATAAGATAAACATTTTATATATTTAAGAAATAGTTTGTCGGGGCAGGGTTATACCTCAGTGCTAAGAAATTTATCCAGCTTTTATCAGGCCCTGGTTATTCTGGAACTTGAGAGATTTGCTTGCTTCCAACTCCCAAGTGGTGGGATTAAAGACATGCTAATGTGCCACCACACCTGGCCTTGCCCACAGGTCTTAACACCCATGGCCCCATCTCAGTGTGTCTACACCAGGATCTTTGTTGTTCTTTGAGATGAAGAGGCCCTGTGTTGATCCTGGTTTATCCAAGTACAGGTGTCTGTTCATGTCACTTGTCTGTCAACAGCCTCAGAGTCTCATCAACTCCCAGAAGTCCTAGAGGCCCTACTCTGACCCGCCATCCTTCCTTAACTGTGGCCATTCAGTACTATGGATTGTGCCATCATGTAAGAGTGGAGATCCAGAGACCAAATGCAGCCCTCATTGTTACAGTTCACAGTCTAGTCAGAGGTTCTGTGGGTAAACCTTCACATCAGTGCTACTTTCATGAGTGCTACTAATAGGGGTGCAGAGATTGGGACTCTTCCCCAGGGTGCCAAGATACAGAAGTTGGTTAGAGTGGGAGGGATGTTGAGTGTAGAAACCAGAGTCTCACATAGTCAAGGTCACACTTTTTATCACTAAGCTATGCCTCTAGCCCTTAATTTTACATAAATTCAAAGCCTCTATTCTTACAATTGTCTTATTCTGGACCAGAATAAGTTTGTATAAGTGTGAATTTACACTGAAGAAGTACAGGTAGAAGATCAAGAGCTCAGGACCATCCTGGACAGTTGAGGCCAGTCTGGGCAATAAGAGACCCTGTATCAAAACCAGTCACGAAAATATTAGAAAGATAGCTCAGTTAGTCAAAGGAGGCAAAGGCAGGTGGGGTTCTGTGAGTTCAAGACCAGCCTGGTCTACAAAGTGAATTCAGGACAGCCAGGGTTTTACACAGAGAAACCCTGTCTCAAAAAAAAAAAAAGGAAGTGGTGGTACAAATTTGTAGCCCAGCACTAAGGAGATGGACCCACTGGCCACGCAGCTTAGTCTACTTGTTGAGTTCTAGGCCAGTGAGAGACCTTGTCTCAAAACGGAAGTAGACCATGCCTTAGGAATGACATGTGAGGCTGACTCTGTCTTCCCCACGTACATACATGGATGGAATACATACACAGCAGGCTGGACAGATGGCTCGGTGGTTATGAGCACATATTACTCTTCTGAAAGACCTGAGTTCAATTCCCAGCACCCACATCAGTTTACAACTGCCTGTAACCCCAGCTCCAGGGGATTCAGATGCCTCTGACCTCTGTGAGCACTTGCATTCGTGTTCATATGCTAACCCCATACACAGAATTAAAATTAAAAAAATAATAGGATACATATACAGCATTATAAAAACAAAAATAAATTTGGAATCTTGCATTTTTCCCAGCTAGATTGCAAGCTCCACTCTCTACCTCTGGCCCAGTACCTGTTGCCCTTAGTTGAACCGAATGTAAAATACTTTCTGATGAGCCTGACATGGAAGTACAAGCCTGAAGGCCCCAGTTGATAAGATTGGAAGGTTGCCAATGCCTCAAGTGTGCAGCAGCCTGGACAACAAGCAAGACCATGTCTATTCTTTCTGCATCTCTCTCTCTCTCTCTCTTTCTTTCTCTCTCTGTCTCTCTCTCTCTGTCTTTCTTGGAATAAGGCCTGTCTTTGTAGCCCTGGCTGGCCTGAAACTAGATAGATAGATCGGGCTGGCCTGAAGTGTTGGAATTAAAGGCATACACCATCATAGCCCCACAGCTCTGTTTGTTTGTTTGATGCGTTTGTTTTCTAATTTCATCTGGTTTTGTTGTGAGTATGTGAGCACCACTATGCCCATGGAGACCTTGACTCTGGAAGTACTTCTATTGGCTGTCACAGGGGTCAGTGTTACTGAATTTCAGAGTTGGTGATAGCTCTCATCTGGGTGCTTCTTCTGTTTCTAGTATTCATACTTGCTAACAAGCCAGCTGGAATCACAGCGGATATACTGGGAAAACAAGATTGTTCGCATAGAGAAGGACACAGCAGAGGAGGTAAGTGACTTAGTGAATAAAATGCCATAGGGTGACTGACAGGTGGGAGAGTGAAAGGGACTGTGAGGATCTTCGCTTTGATTTGTGATGATGGGGAGAGAATTGTTTTGTCTCTAAAAAGAAATTGTAGAGTTAAAGGGTCTTGATAGCTGGGATCGTAAGCGTTTGTACAAGAACATAAAAACAGGCAGGCAGTGCTTCAGTGACTGTCCAGCCCACTGCTTCCTCCCAGTATCCTCAATCAGGACTTCTCCAGGCAAACCCCATAATCTATGGAAGTGTATGCGAAGGTTTTGCAACATGGGTCAGCCTCTGGCATGTCAACTTGGGAACAGTGGCCTTGGAAGCTGGGTGTGCTTCTGCAGCTTTGTAAACTGAGGAAAATAAATTAGGCAGAATGGTGGCGCTTCTGTAGTCAGCCTGAGAACTACTGATTCAGAACTGCAGCTATCACATTTTAACTAAGTGGTCCATTAATGTGCCATGCATGGTGGCCTATGCCTATAGCTCTGTGTACTCAGGAGGTAGAGGCAGGAGGATTGTTTAATCCCATAAGTTTGAGGCTACATAGCATGTTTGTTTTGTTTTGTTTTTAAGATTTAATTTTATGTGTATAAGTGTTTGACTGTATGTCTAAATGTTCAGTACTGGGGCTTAATGTGTATATCTCCAACAACTACTTCTCTTAGCAGTAAATGAAGTCTTAAGTTTGTAAATGATCCAGCTAGTAACTTAATTCCTACCTACCTAGGCCCTAACAACAGTAGGAATGGGTTTTCAAATGACCCTTAGTTAAAAGTCATCAATGAAATTCTTCTGACAACCTTCCAGACAGTAGAAGTGCCAGTGCAGAGACCTTAGAGGACACTTGACTTTTCATCCTGAATAGGGTGTGATTGTCACACAGGGAAGAAAGCCTGAACCGGTATTCAAGAGCAGAGCAGGGTCACTGTCACTCATATTATAGACATCCAGGGTAGTGGGCCACTGCAGACCCACTAATGGTGTTTGTTTGTTTGTTTGTGGCTCACCCAGCATGACCACCCAAATTGCTTCACACAGACCCTTGCAAAATGAGCTCGGGACCCTCTCTGCCTTGTAAGATTAGCCACATTCCCTAAGACATGCCAGCAAAAGCAAATCAGGGCCGAGGAAGGGAAGTCCAGAGGAACATGCTTTCTTACCAATCAAAATGAGCTGGGGCCAGGGCAGCTTCTGATAAAAGCTCGTAGCACTTAAAAGGATGCCTTTGGTTTCTTATGACAGATAGCATCTGTCCATAAGTTCATGGCTAATGCAAGCCTTTTGTGCGTTGGTGTCCTTTTGTGACTGTCTGCTGTCCAAGCAGTAGAGCGTGTAGAGAACAGTGGCAGATTCTCACTTGTAGGCTTCATAACACAGTTATAGTGGTTGTGTGGATGGGCCAATTACAGGCCAAGCCCAGAACCTGTAGGCCACTTGTAGATATGATACAGTGTAATTCATTCTAGCCTGTCAGGGATGTAGGCACAGTCACACAGAGCCATGTGAAGGGTCTTGGTTTTTTGTTTTGTTTTGTTTTGTTTTTGTTTTGTTTTTTTTTTTTTAATTATTTTGGTGCTGGAGAGATGGCTCAGTGGTTAAGAGCACTGGGTATTCTTCCAGAGGTCCTGAGTTCAATTCCCAGCAACCAAGTTGTGGCTCATGACCATCTATAATGGGATCTGATGCCCTCTTCTTGTCATGCAGTCATCCATGCAAATATGTAGAAATAAATAAATCTTAAAAAATAATTTCTTTCTGCCAGGCAGTGATGGCCCAAAACTTTAATCCATGCACTTTGGAGGCAGAAGCAGGCAGATCTCTGTGAGTTTAAAGCCAGCCTGGTCTGCAGAGTGAGTTCCAGGTCAGCTAGGACTACACAGACAAACCCTGTCTTAAAAAGCCAAAATAGATTAGATAAACAGACAGACAGGCAGATAGATGGGTAGGTGGGTAGGTGGATGGAAAGATAGATAAAACAAGGCAAGAAATAAAGGATAAAGTGTGATCCCAGTGTGGTGGGTGTTAGATGTACCCCAAGCACAGGACATAAAGCTTTGGTCTTGAGTTTCACAGTGGTTTAGAGCTTGACTATGGCCAATCTTAGTCCTGGACAGGATCCCCAACCCTGCAACTGGCAGACCTTGGATCATTGCTTGTTCTGAGTCTGTTTCCTCAGAAGCTCATTGATCTGTGGCATCGCTTATTGAGAGGAGTGACTATAAAGACTGCTTGTGCACTGGGCTCCTGGATGCTGATGCAGCAACCTGGCCTCCCACCTCCCTACTCCTCTCATCTCCTCCCTACCCCTCTCATCTTCTCCTCCCCTGCTCCTCTCATCTTCTCTCAGTTTCTTTTTTTGTTGTGGTTGTTTTGTTTTTTGAGACAGGGTTTCTCTGTGTAGCCTTGGCTGTCCTGGACTCCCTTTGTACACCAGGCTGGCCTTGAACTCACAGAGATCTGCCTGCCTCTGCCTCCCTGAGTGCTGGGATTACAGGTGTGTGCCACTGTGCCTGCCTTTTCTCCCAGTTTCTAAGATATGAAATTGAGGCAGTTCCCAGTTCTGCAGCTCTTCACCTGTGGGTTGGTCCCAAGTCCTAACTTGACTCCGGCAGGTTCTTGGTAGGACTGCTTTTGCCTGACCTAAATATCATGCAGAACTTAGGTTCTTTCTAAATCTCTGAAATATGAATTAGTTCGTTAGGTACATTGACTTACAGATTGACCCAAGGCAAACATGCAATTCTTTTTTTTTTTTTTTAAGATTTATTTATTTATTTATTATATATACAGTGTTCTTTCTGCATATATGCTTGCACGCCAGAAGAGGTTACTAGATCTCATTATAGATGGTTGGGAGCCACCATGTGGTTGCTGGGAATTGAACTCAGGACCTCTGGAAGAGCAGCCAGTGCTTTTTAACCTCTAAGTAATCTCTCTAGCCCAAACATGCAATTCTTAAGGCCTCATAGCACATCAGAAAATCTGTAGAGACCAGTCTCATGGGTTTCTTTTGTTTTTCTTCTGTTTTTGAATGTTTTGGTTTATTGAGACAAGATCTCCCTCTGTAGCCCAGAATGGCCTGAGATTCACTGTACCCCAGAGTACTCTTGGCAATCCTCCTGTCTCAGCCTTGTGAGTGCTGGGATTGTGGGTGGGAGGTGCAACCCTAGCTCTTCGATAGCTCTTGGTGTCCATCAGCAGTTTCCCTGGGAACCCAGCAGCTCCTAGTCCTTGTTTAGCCTAGAAAAATGTATTTGTCGTAGTTTCTCACAATTTTTGTTGCTGTCACAATTCCTTTCAAGCGGCTTATTTGGACTTTCTGAGTTTGGTTGGTCCTGGTTATTAAGACAGTGGCAGGAACTGTCCCAAAACTGCATGACTCTGCCTGACCTGGTCCACTTGAACTTTCAGATTAACAACATGAAGACCAAGTTTAAAGAGACCATCGAGAAGTGCGACAGCCTGGAGCTCAGGCTAAGTGACCTCCTGAAGGAAAAGCAGTCCGTGGAAAGAAAGTAGGTATCTCTTACTTCTTAGCAGCCATGAATGCCAACAGACTTTTCCACAGAAGCACCTTCGCTTCCTTTCAGCATGTTCTTTATGGCTAGAGAAATGTCACAGTGACTTCTCGTTGTGCAGTTAGGGGTGAGCAAGATGGCTTAGCCACCAAGCCACTACCTGTGCGATCCCAAGACTCATGTGGTGAAAGAAAAGAACAGACTCCCACACATGGTCCTTGAACTCCACACATGGCACACTTGTATACAAACACACAGGAAATAAATGTAAAATTTAAAAAAGGTGCCATTGGCATTCCACTTGAGGTTGGTCCCATGTGGAACACCAAACTCTCTTGCAATCCATATGCAGATGGCTTTCCTTTCTGCCTGCAGTTTCTGAGCCATCTTGGCAGAGAGCTGGCAGTTAGGAAAGAGATTTTGCCAAAGCCAATGTCACAGGCTCCCCCTGGGCTGGACCTAGTGGCTAATGATGCTGAGTGTGGAGGAAAATGCCCATGAGCAGCATGACAAGAATACTTGCTGCTGCTGCTGCTGCAGTGGGCAGCATAGTTGTTGCTGGTGGCCATTGCTGTCCTATGATTCAGTGGCATGCCCTTCCCAGCATGCAGAAGGGCCTCGGTTTTTCCCAAGCACTGAAGAGGGTAAGGTTCCCTCACTGGTTTCAGTTACATATACTATAGAAGTGACAAGATTGTTTTTGTGAAGATACAGTATAATAGATATTTGTTCGTTTGAGACAGAGTTTCTTTGTGTAGACCAGAGAACTCAGAGGTCCCCCTATCAATGTCTGCCGTGTGCTGAGAATAAAGGTGTGTGCCACCACCGCCAGGCTTAGATAAAAGAACTTTAAGGGGGATATTTGAATCTTAATGTTGTTTCTCTCAAAAATAGATTTACAGGAAAGTTACAAAAATAGTTTTAAAGGTCTTCCATGAACCTTGCATCCATTTTCCTCCACCATCTAGTGAGTTTCTAATGTATGTTGTTTGTTACTTTGTTTTTGAGACAGGGTCTTATTATCTAGACCAGGCTGGCCTCCAACTCACAGAGAGCCACCTACTTCTGCTGAGATGTAAAGGCTTGTGCCACCACACCTGGCCTAATGTTTAATTGTGGACAGTTGTGTAATATAAAACTTGCCAATTGTGAGTGTGTGTTGTGTATGTGTGTTCAAAGATGAGCCTGTGCAGACCAGAAGTCAGACCTGAATGTCTTCATTTATTGTTCTTCATCTTAGTTCTGTTTTGTTTTGTTTTTGTTGTTGTTTTGTTTTTTTGAGACAGGGTCTCACTTTGTAGCCCAGGCCGGCCTAAACTCACTATATAGACCTGGCTGGCCTTGAAATCACAGAGATCTACCTGCTCTGTCTTCCTGGTGCTGGGATTAAAGATGTGTGCCACAAAACCAATCGTCAGTTTGGTCTTTTGGGATGGAGTCTCATGCTGTAGCCTATACTAGCCCTGAATTCAAACATTGCTTCTGCGTCAGCTTCCTGAGTGCTAAGATTACAGGCTGGAGCTACCATAACTGGCTTCTTTGGCATTCTGATACATAAAAATGGTACCTCCTGTATTGTCTTAGTTTGTAATTCTCTACTTAGGAGTGAGCATTGAGGACAGAGCACCCCCACTCTTGACCCTTTTCCCTCCTTTAGCAAACTCATGAGGTCAGAATGTTTGTTTCAGAGAATGCCACTTCCCTAGTGACTTCCTCGTCATGTTCTGACAGAGCTGCTGCTGCTGTGCTCATTAGGCCCTGCCCTAATGGCTTCTGAGGTCCCGGAGCAGAAAGGGACATGGAGCCATGAAACCAGCCTGTCTCCCTCTTTTGCTCAAGGTGTACTCAGCTGAACACCAGAGTGGCCAAACTCAGCACGGAGCTTCAGGAGGAGCAGGAGCTGAATAAGTGTCTGCGCGCCAACCAGCTGCTGCTGCAGAACAAGCTGAAGGAGGAGGAGAGGCTACTGAAGGAGACCTGTGACCAGAAAGACCTGCAGATCACCGAGATCCAGGAACAGCTGCGTGACGTCATGTTCTATCTGGAGACTCAGCAGCAGATCAGCCACCTGCCTGCGGAGACGAGGCAGGAGATCCAGGAGGGCCAGATCAACATTGCCATGGCCTCAGCCCCCAACCCTCCCTCCTCGGGAACTGGTGGAAAGCTGCAGTCCAGGAAGGGCCGCAGCAAGAGGGGCAAGTGACCTTCCAAGACTTGTCCCTGAGACTTCCTGGTCACCGCAGGGTGTGCTGGGACCTTTGCTGAGTGGGAGGGTGGGCCCTAATAAGTACGCCTGAGGACGAACTGTGGTCGTGTGGCTCCTTCATTTGTTGCGTGTGGTATAGGAGACTGACAGGGGTGGCATTGGCAGCATTTCCCAAGGGTGAGTCTCAGACCTCAGACACCTCATGGCCATTCTGCCTTCCAGCTGGGTAGACCCCAGTCTTGTGCGTTTTCTGTTGTGTTTATTCAGTTGGAGCACTTGCAGTTGAATTTGGGGGAAGGTCTATGACTTGGTGTGACCTTCAAGGCAGCATCACCTAGTACTGAAGCATAGTGCCTCCCAGAGGCCCCAGCAGCTGTCAGGACAGGAGCCTGCTGCCTGCTACAGAGCATTCCTCCCTCCTGCCATCCCTCTCTTTCTCTGCAGAGCTGAAGAGTTGCTGGCAGGTTATAGGGAAGTGGCTAGGTTGTAGACCAGGCACAAGTGTGTCCTTAGCAGCCATTTTGTCTGGCTTGAGGGCAGGGAAAACTAGTAAATGGGGTAAATGGAGTAGACCCAGCCTAGGGAAGATGGTGACAGCTGTTTTTGATGACTCCATATGAAATGTGCCTGTTAAATAAAAGCCTTACTGGCTCCTCCTCAGGTCAGGTAGCTGAGAGTGTCCTCCATCTAGCAGGAGTCAGGGGGCAAGCCTGGTGAGAGGCTTCTGACAAGCTGATGTGTGTTGCTGGGGTCGGTGTATACTGACAGGCCAGGCCGCATGTGCAGGTTGCAGCTGGAGGGGGCTTGGGCAGATTGCAGTTAGGCTTGCATAGTAGATCTCACTGCTTCTCACTCCAGCAGAGCCTCTTTCCAACAGCCATACAATACTTACTGTAACCAACAGAGGGCTGTGTGCCTCTCTAGAGCCGGGAACATCAGGTAACTTGTAATGTAGTAATTGAACAGAATTGGGGGGACACCATGTTGGGATTTAGCTTCTAGAAGAGTCTGAGCAGTTAGAGCAGCCGTGTGTAGTACAGTTTAATTTTATGCATTATCATCAGCCAAAGGTTTGAAATGTCACACTTTAGCAACTTTTTTTTCCTGACTGGACCTCGTCCTTTGACCGAATATCTGACATGTTGTCACCACATTGCCTGTGTTGCTGAGCACCATCCAGTTCGGTGGAATGTGCCATGGCATTTTTCAAAAAGCCACCTGTAACTGCAGAATGCGTGTGCTCAGACCATCGTGGCTCTTCCTTAGGGCAGACTAGCACTCCAGGTCCTCAGGCCTGAGGACACGGGTTCCTGGAGCTGGGGCAGGAGCAGAGCTACCCCTCACAGAGCTTCTATTTTATCTAGAACAAGTTTTACACTGTTGCAGTCTTGCCGGCTCAAGCTCTTCTTGCACATCTGACCTTGCAGAAGCTGGGATGGGTGGCAGCATGCTAATTAAGAGCATTGGGCGCCGTTTCCAAAGCTGGCTCCTCATTTCACTGCAATCCACCAAGCAGCCCTGCTGCCCCCATGAGAGCAGTGCTTCACAATAAAGGTTGGGGAAAATGCCTGGGAAGGCTGTGGCCAGAGGAAACAGCAGATAGACAGAGGTTTCCAAACTACTTGAAGGTCTTAAAAAATCAAGATGTGTAAATAAAACGTTATTTTAAAAGGTCAAAGAGTTCCGTTTGCATTTGCCATTACACTGGATAGAAGCCGTTGGTGTGTTTTTCAGAACAAAGAGGAACACTTGGGTTTCCCACACTCCCTTGACCAATGAACTCTTACTAAAATAACTAGAAATTATTCTGCCCTGCATAAAATTTGCATTTGTTAGGTTGCTTGGGAGCATGTATCTAAGAGTGTCAATAGTCTGCTTTCTGTTGTTTGTTAGTTTGTTGAGACAGGGTTTCTCTGTAGCTCTGGCTGTCCTAGAACTCACTCTGTAGACCAGGGTTGAGATCCACATGCCTCTGCCTCCTCAGTGCTGCTATCAAACGCCTGTGCCACTGTGCCTAGTGAAATGAAAACACATTTTTAAATGATAAGGAGAAAAACCTTTCCCTTCTGTGCCACAAATGTGACATTTCCCTTTAAGCCATTTACAACAAGAGAAGTTTTCACATGTGCATTAGGAGAGCTTACTCCTGGAAAGAGGTTGTGGTCCCTTTATGCTGACAGTCACTGCCATAATTGCCATAATCATGTTAGACCCTCTGTGTGTGTGTGTGTTAGGCCCTCCGTGTTTATGTGTGTTGTGTGGGTGTGTGTGCTTACAGAGGCCAAAGAAGACTGTTGTGTGTCCTGCTCTGTCATTCTGCCATGTTGTCTTGAGACAGGGTCTCACTAAGTGTGGAGCTAGGCTGGCAGGCAGCAAGCCCCAGCAATCCTCCTGTCCTCAAAAGCACTGGGTTCCAGGTCACATGTACAGCTTTTACTGTACAGCTTTTACTTGGGTGCTAGGGAAGAGACCTTGGGTTGTCATGCTTGTATAGCAAATACCGAGTGAGCCATCACCTCAACCACCGCCACCCCTTTTTATGCAGAGTTTCAGTATAGCAAAGGCTGGCCTTGAGCTTAGCCTCCCAAGAGCTGCAATTGCAGATGTGAATGTCTTGTTTTGTTAGTTTGGTTTAGTTTTTTGAGACAAGGTCTCTCTACATAGCCCTGGCTGTCCTGGAACTCACTGCAAGATCCACCTGCCTCTGCCCCACCCTGCCGCCAATCCCATGGTGGGATAAAAGGTGTGCACCACCACACCTGGCCCTCTTCATTTTGTAATGATGCTTCACCTTGAGTCTCTGGACCCAGCTCTCCCTGGACTACTCGCCGACCTCAGGCTTTCATTCCTGAGAGCTACGTTGCTGGGCCAACACTTTGAGAACTGCTAACCTGGGCTGCAGCAGACCAGTGTGTTGTGAACAACAGAAGCCAAGGGAACATGAGTTCTGCAGCAGCTTCTTAGTCAGGATTGCACATTCCTGCTGAATTAAAGGAAGAGACAGACAATCTGCTGTTTCACACAAGATGACTGACTACAGTCTTTGGGGCCTAATGCCGAATGACTTTGGGTCAAACATTTCTCACTGGAATTATCTGGAAAAATGTGGCTTTGGTACTTGGCATAGAGCTGCTCTGTTGCACTTAGTTTTGTTGCTTCAGGCCAACTACCAAGCTTATTGCATGAACTAAAGCAGCTTTGTTTCTTCCATCTGTTGATCTAGAGCCCTGACTTGAGACTTCAGAGCCAGCCCGATTCTGCCTGGAAAAGAGTGAGTTCACCTTCTGTGTCCTCCATACGCAGGCCATGGAAACCCAGGATCATCCCAGCCTGACATGATGTAACCACAGTGCAGTCCTTGTCACATGGTCAAAACTGGTCTGTCACTCACAGCAGACATGTCACATAGGAGAGCCATTCTGACCTACCTCTCCATAGAAAGGTCTTCTGCCATGTTTTGCCCTTAAGTAGAAGATTCACACTAAGTCTCTTACACGTTAGTGTTGTGGCTTACAAAGAAAAGTCCTGAGGCAGGTGGTGTGTGGAGTCAGGGAAGGTGTCTCTATGGGCAAAGTGCCTGCTGTGCTTGTGATGACCGGAGTCTGATCCCTAGCACCCATGTAAAAAGGCAGACACAATGGCATGGTTTTGTGATCCCAGCACGAGGGGTTAGACAGGGATGTTTGGGGATCACTGCCCAGCCAGCCTAGCCTGATTAATGAACCACAGGTCCCACCGAGAGACCACATCTCAAGGTTGGAGGAGGGGCCTTGTACCTGAGGGATGCCACCTGAGGATGACATCCAGCCTCCACAGCACATACACACGTCCATGTGTGTCCATGTGAACACACAAAAAGTAAAGTGTGGGGGCTGAAGGGGCAGCTCAGTGATTACAAGCACTGGCTGCTCTTACAGGGGACTTGCATTTGGTTTCCAGCACCTAGATGGTGGCTCACTACCATCCCTAACTCCATTCCCAGAGCCCCCAAAGCTCCCTTCTGGCCTCTGTGGGCAGCAGACACACACACAAATACACATAAAATAAAAAATAAATCTTTAAAACACTTTTAAAGTTTTTCAAGAAAGGGTTCTCTGTACACCCCCAGCAGTCCTGGACTCTGTAGACCTGACCAGCCTTGAACTCACAGAGATCTATCTGCTTCTGAGTGCTGGGATTAAAGGTGTGAAGGTGTGGGCCACAACGGCCCAGTAAATCTTTTTAAAACTTTAAAAGGTCAACTGTGCATTATTTCCAGTGCTGCCATACAAGGGGGGCCTACAGAGCCCGCAGGCCTCCTCCTTGAGGCGGCATCACCTTGGTCTGTCAGACGGTTCTGGTTTGGTCTGTAGGGGGCACCCTCACCGCCTGAGAAACTGGCCCGTATCCCCTCACAGGAATTAGGAAAACCATGAGGCGGGTGCGCGCCACAGGCTCCCTTCTGGGGCAGAGCAGATCTCAGACAGGCCTAGAAGTGAAGAGTCAGCAGAAACTGTTAGGAGACAATTGGGAGTTCCTCTTGGAAATGCTCCAAAAGAAAACAACCAAACTGACAGCTCCTTTGGGCAGAGGTAGGTTCTGCCTGCTTGGCTAGAGCCACCAGAAGTGTCCCGCAGAGTAATTTGTGGTGAGACACAGAAGCTTTTTTCATTTTCTCATTCCCTTCTAATCAGGTGGAAGCACCCAGCCCCAAACAGCTCCCCTAGCCCCCTGCAACCCCAAAGCCACCTGTTTTTTTTTTTGGGGGGGGGGGAGAAACTAAACTAAAATCCTCTTCTAAGTGCAGGCAGGCCTTGGGAACGCAGCTTCTTGCATTTGTTCCCAAGCCACTAAGAATCAACACTGACTGGCTTGGATCCCAGGCAGGGCCAAGTACAGGACACAGGACTCTACAGGAAGGCCCAAAGGCCTCCATCCAACCCTCCCCCAGCACATTCGTCTTCAATTAAGTAGGAGCCTAGCTGGGCTGAGGGCTGCCAGAATTCTAGTCCAGAGGCAAAGGCTCCACGCTGAGGCCTAGAACCTGCCCTGATTGTCCATGCCGGGTAGCATTTGCTTCCAACTGCACTTTCTCTTTGGCAGGGTTCCTGCAGAAATG